TCAGGTCGAGTTTGCTCGGAACGTGTGGAAGTTGCTAGAGGGTAGCAAGTTTGCACAGTTGGGCGGAGAGAAAGAGGTCAAGTTGGAGGAAGACAAGTACGAGTTGAGGCAGGATAGGTACCCTCTCCGAACAGCACCTCAGTTTGCTGGACCGCAAATTGAGGATATCATGGCGGCGTTGGAGAGTATCACCAGAGAGTGCAACTCCAGTACGTTTCCGCATCTATCTTTTACCTCACCTATTAATCTTCGGTTGTTTGCTTACAGCCACCGACAATCCCCTGGTCGATGGAGAAACCGGCGAAGTCCATCATGGTGGCAACTTCCAAGCTATGGCTGTTACTAATGCGATGGAGAAGACTCGACTTTCTCTCCACCACATCGGAAAACTCATCTTCTCTCAGAGCACCGAAATGCTCAACCCAACGATGAACCGTGGTCTTCCACCGTCGTTGGCTGCAACGGACCCGAGTCTCAACTATCATGTCAAGGGTGTGGACATCGCTACGGCGGCGTACGTCGCAGAGCTCGGTTATCTCGCCAGTCCCGTTTCAACGCATATCCAGAGTGCAGAGATGCACAATCAAGCTGTCAAGTAAGCGCATTCATATTCTTTGATTGGCCGAATTTGAGCTCATGACTAATTCCTTCCTCTAGCTCGATGGCTTTGGTCTCAGCACGAGCAACGATCACATCTATCGACGTTCTCTCAATACTGACAGCAACCTACCTCTACAATCTCTGCCAAGGTACGTTGATCCCATCACTCATCCCCCTTGATCCCAACATCAGCTCAACCCATACTCCGAAGCCCTCGACCTCCGCGCCCTCCGCCTCGAATTCGACGAAAAATTCAAAACCCTCGTCTCTGAAGAACTCCGCTCCATCTTCCCATCCCTCGACGCCCTAGCCCACCAAACCCTCCAAACTCAACTCCTCAAAACCATGTTCCTCCGTATGGAAAAAACGACGATCATGGACGTCATCGATCACATGTCCACCGTCGCGTCTTCCAGTGTACCCGTTCTGAACGAGTTCTTCGTTCGTTCAGGAATTGCGGATACAGAGTTGGGTGTGGGGTTGTTGACGTCGATATCCAAGTTCCAGGGGAATGTGGCTTCGAGGGCTACGTCTCTCATGAATGAGCTTAGGCTTGCGTATTTATCCGGTTCTCGAGGTCAAGCGCCTGCGCTGAAGTATCTGGGGAGGACGAGGGCAATGTACGAGTTTGTGAGGGTCGAGTTGGGAGTGAAGATGCACGGGTTGGATAACGTTACTGGGTTCGAGGACGACGGCGAGGAGAACACCGTCGGACACAGTATCACGAGAGTTTACGAGGCAATTCGGGATGGGAGGATTCATGATATCGTGGTGGGAACCTTCGAGGGGATCGTTGGGTCGGAGTAGAGAAGGACATTCACTCTTAGAGAGACCCAAGTCGCGCCCTGTATCACTAGATGTGTGTATGTATACCCACTGTTCCGTTTATTTGATGGGAAATAGACCATCCTGAATCGTTTTTTTTAGCCGGAGACCTGTCCACGTTTCGACCCTGCAAATCTTAAAGATTTACCGACAGCCGTATGCAGTCTTGAAAGTCGAAGTGGAGACTGGGTATACTTTACCGAGGGTATGGACAGAGGCAGTACGCCTTTTTGAATTGAACTGATGCCCTCCAGCCCGAATCCATTGACACAAGCTCCCGACGCGAGTAGTAAGATCTTGTGGAGCATCCGGCAGCCTAAAGTTGAGTATCTATCATCTGGCTGCTTGTTTTCCGCCGCAGCACGACTATAAAACGAGATTGTGTTGAAAAAACCCCCTCACTTTCGTCCCAAACTTCAGTTTGGCACCTCAACGGAGATCATACAGTGGTGGCGTGAGTACCTAGACCGACCCATGAATCTCTATCCTCATTTTTCTGTCGAAACAGTGACATGATCAAACCTTCTTTTGCTGGCTTGGCCATTATCGCTACCCTGGTGACTGCCTTTCACCTCGAGCAACGCTCGCTCGTGGACTCTGTGAGTTTATTTCATTGAATCTCTTCCGACCGTAGCTTACCCTGACCCAATCAAATTCTCAACTTTTAGGAAAACCTTCGTTCCAAAATCACACTCGACGCTCTTATAGACCACGCCCAAAAACTTCAGGACTTTGCCTACGCATCCCCCGGTGGAAACCGTCTCTTCGGAAGCTCTGGACACAACGACACCGTAGACTACATCTACGAAACCCTTACAAGTCTCGGTGACTACTACGCCGTCACCCTTCAGCCCTTTTCAGCCTTCTCCTACGTACCCGGCAACCACGCTCTCACCATAGACGGTGAGCCCGTCGAAAGCACAGCATTCAACTATTCTCCCAATGGCAACGCAACAGCGGAATTGGTGCCTGTGGCGAACTCTGGATGCAAAGAAGAAGATTACCCTCCCGAGCTTTCTGGGAAGATTGGTCTGGTAGTTCGAGGTGGAGGGTGTGATTTCGGGGAGAAATCGGTGCTGGCTGGGGCTGCGGGAGCTTCGGGCGTTATCATCTATAACAACGTTCCGGGTGGTGGAGTAGGGAGTCTTCCGCCTCCTCCACATCCGAAAGGGGACGTGAGTGGTTCTTTGATTTTTCATAACACCGTGGGTCCTTACTTATAGCTACTGGGATCCAGTACATTCCGACCCTCGCCGTGACAAAGGATACGGGTATGAGCCTGCTCAAATCGATCGAGAGAGGTGCCACAGTCATGGCCAACGTTGTCGTCGATGGATCTGTAACAGAGCTGGCATTCACGAACAACGTTATCGCCGAGACGAAGTGTGGTAACCATGATGATGTTTTATTCCTCGGGGCTCATTCTGACAGTGTTGCCGTCGGTCCTGGTATCAACGACGATGGAAGTGGAAGGTATAGTTTTGTTCCTCGCCTATTTCATGTTCTGGTTCTGTTCTGACATCTTTTGTCTTCTGAGAAAAGCGTTGCGCTACTCGAGATAGCCAAACAGTTGGCTGGTTCTGAAGTGAAGAATGCAGTCCGATTTGCGTGGTGGTCTGCTGAGGAAGCAGGTCTCCTTGGATCCGAGCATTGGGTTTCCACCGCCTCTCAGGAAGAGCTCGATAAAGTTTATCTCTACCTCAATTTTGACATGATTGCGTCACCCAACTACGCTCTTAACGTATATGACGGCGGTAAGTTGCAGTTCTTAATGGTCGATATTTCTCTAACACTCCTCTAGATGGCTCTCAATTTAATATGTCCGGGCCTCCAGGATCGGCTGAAGCGGAACAGCTATTCCACGACTACTTCAAATCCGTCGGGCTTAACTCTACATCTTCCGAGTTGAACGGCAGATCGGACTATGGACCTTTCCTCAAAGCTGGAGTCGCGTGCGGTGGCCTCGACACCGGTGCCGAAGGGCACAAAACTGCAGCTGAAGCAGAGATGTTTGGTGGAGAAGCTGGTGTTGCTTACGATGTCAATTATCATCAACCTGGTGATACCATGGACAATCTTGCTCACGATGCACTCGAAGCTAATACCAAGGCGATCGCACATGCTGTCGCCGTGTATAGTGCTGGGTTTGATGACTTGCCCGCTAAAGATACCACGCGAACGGTGGTTGAGAGATCCCAGTCAGGAGTTATTGGCAAGAGGGAGGAGGATTCGGGCATCTACATGGGGGATTTACTCATCGGGTGATCGATTTAGGTGGTCTTGTATTTATGTACATACGTACCTGCCATTGTCGTTCGGACATCGCTCGGACGCTTGGTCCGAAGACTTGAGTCCGCAATTGAAGCTCTCACGCTGGCAAGAGTCAGTCACTGCGCATCACCATCGCGCCTGTAGGCTGCCAGACGTTACAACTCCTGGATTTCCAACATCCATGCCGAGTTTTAATGCAGATTGACTAAAAGCTGCGTAGACGCACGGACTCACCTTGACAGTCAACCTTGGCTTGCATTCAACCATCCGGCAACAACCCAGACTCAAATTGTAGCACAGCGAGGACTAAATAATGATTTAGACTTGGAAATGGACGAGGATATGAGGGTGCAAGCGAACGATGTGAGAGAAATTGAACATGGTTCAAGAATGAAGGGTCTTTTGAATTAGGAATAAGTAACAAAGAATTGGGTGAGCGTCGTATACAAACCACTATCCAAGACAACAACTAACCTTTCATCGAGCTTCAAATCCCCCATTTTCGCGAAAAAGCTTCAAATTCAGACACCGAGTCAAAGAAACACTGACGTTATTGATTTATTACTGACGGTAACCTGGATGTACTCCAGATGGCGTGTCCTCAATATCTGTATCCTCTATCATACCTTCGCTCATCCTCCCTGTTTCTATTATCTTTCTCGTCCAGGGCTCGATCTACCAACATACCTTCTCTCATTCGCCATCATTCAAGCCGTATCTTCCGCCCAGTTTTCTTTTCTACCAAACTGGCGTTTGTCTGTACTCGAACCTGCAAGCCGTGAGCAAAGGAGGACCTTGAAGCTCGGATCTATGAAGAAGAAGTAGATGCCAGTGCAGGGGCCGAGGTTGTACAGTAGGTATGCATGGCTGTCCGATTTGTTCACGACGACGCGTACTGACGAACCTGGCGAAGGCCCAAATCCTCGTACAGACGCAGAGGATGAGATCTGACTTCATTTCATATTCCCTCAGCTAATACCAATGTTACGCTTTGAGGGAGGTCGGTTCAATGTAAGAAACTGACTCGGGCAGATATAAGCATTTTGAAGGATTGCGAGGGGTTCGCTCCTTCTAACTGTTTTATACTGCTAAATCTTACTCATTTTCCTCTGGTCAATAGAGTATATCGGACCACACAACGCGACGGATGTAGAACCCGTTTCTCACGTCCACATATTGACGAGGGTAGTAGTACACGCGACATTCTGAGCATATCCAAAGTTAAAGTGCCATGGGCAGCGTTTCGGACATAGGTGAGAATGAGAGAGCCCCGCCAATTCCCAAAGGTTGCAAAAATATAAATATTCCGATGCGGGGAATCGAACCCCGGGCTGCTGTGCAAGCCTTCAGATATGACCTTTGAAAGACAGCAATGTTAGCCACTACACCACATCGGATTGGTAGGTGGCCTCGATCATGTAAACAAGTCCATTGGCTCTTGAAAGCATTCTTATACAAATGTACTCATGTCCACCGCGAGGATCGCTGCTTTCTCAACCGAGCCACGAGCCCTCTTGGATAATACTCATAACCTGTTGGGGTCGAATTGATGACGTTCAAAGGATACGAGATCGAGAAAGCTAAGTACCTAACCTCCAAAACGCAAGGAGGGATCTCGGTCAGTCGCGTAACGTGTTTAAGTTCGAATCCTTGATCACCCCTTGTTCTAGATAGTCCATACTACCCACAATTCAGCGGCACTGACCTACCGTCATATTCTCTATGGTACGTTCTACTCCCCACTGTCTACATGAGGTCGAACAATCAGATGTAAGTTATGTGGTACTTACATTTCTACCTACCACGGTGGCTATTTTCACTATCCATTTCGGTAACTCGCCGGCATGCCGTCGGAACACTCTGGGCTGATGTTTGACTAAGTCGATAGTCGGCAGCTAGAGTTCTTCGGCGCATTAATCTGGAATAAACAGTACTGACCATCAAAGCGCTATCACTTCCGATAAGTGATCAACCCACAAGTCATCGGACTCAATTGTACAGGTCCTCCTAGTCCGTGCAAGCTGTCTGAGCAGCTGTGACATTTTTTTACGGAAGGCGCCTACATTAGACGATTCCGTAGTACCAATTCGTTCCCGGCCCGAGGCAAGTAAGCGGATATTATGCCAAAATTTCGATGCTGCCGCTCCTTCCGTCGCTCCTCACGCCGAAACATCCAGTCACCACTCGGAGAGGGTTTGTATAGGGGAGACCTTTCATATATATAGGGAAGCAATGAGCCTCAGCTCGAATGTTTCACAATGCTATCCCTCATCCAACTCCTGTCTATTCCTTTAGCCATTTTTACGAGCACCATCCTCGCACTGATCATTCGGTCGAGGAGACGGACCCTCAGATTCCTTCAAGGACCGCCGTCATTTTCTTTTCGTCTTGGTCAGTCTACCACTTATTTCATCGCTGATGGAATTCCTTCATTCACCCACGGCGACTGCAGGATACGATCAGGTTATCACACGCGTGAGGAAGGTCGGGGAACTCGAAAACGCCTGGTTTGAGCAGTATGGATCTGTGTATCGTTTACCTGGGTCTTTTGGGGTGAGTACAAGCATGTTCATCTCGCTTTATCAGTTGTCAGGGGTGACTGAAATATGACTCGACTGATACCGATAGGAGGACTCCTTATATGTCTCCGACCCCCGTGCCCTCCAGCATATCTGTCATAAATCCGCCTATCGGTACAAGAAACCCATGGACATCCAGCAACTGATTGGGAAGTTGTTTGGGCCAGGGCTTGTGACTGTCAATGGTACGTCCGCATCTGCAACATATAAACGAATTCCTCGCTAATCCCTGCTGTTGCAGGCGATGTTCATCAACGACAGCGGAAGATCATGAACCCCGTATTCTCCGCCGCAGAAATTCGTCCGTTCGCCCCAGTGTTCGAGGCCTGTACACAAAGGGTGAGCTATACCTCAGTATGGCACGATGGTTACGTTTATTGAGATTTCATATCGAAGCTCATAGCAAAGTGGAGGTCCGAGATTGATGGCGGAGCTACAATCATCGATTGCTTCAAAGACTTTCACGGTATGACGCTGGATGCACTCGGAGAATGTATGTGTATCGATATCGCTCGGAATCAGACCTCTTACTCACAGCTGTTATTCCAGCTATGTTTGGCTACAACTTTGATGCGATGGGCAAGACAAGAGCGGGCGGTCTTCGTGATATTCTTCGGGATGTATTGTCAGTCAAAGTCACTCGTTTTTTTGAACTGCCAACAGATACTGATAATTTACCCTTTGACCCTCAGCCTCGACTCTCGCAATCCGTCGGAGCTCAAGATGTTCCGTAACGCTACGTACCGATTCCTCCCTAAGTCTGCTATAGACATTATCTCCTTGTGGAAAACAAAAGAAGACAAACGCTTTGCGAACTGGCTGGAGGCTAGTCAAAACGTTACAGGGGGCCTAGTCACGCAGAAGGTAGAGAGTGGCGGTGGACAGGAAAAGGATAAGGATATCCTGAGCGTTATAGGTCGGTCTATGTTTCTTTATCGATGCACGGCGACTCAACCAAAACCACAGCCCGTTCACTGACTTCGGAAGATCCAAACAAGCGCTTACTTCCGGTGGAAGCGCTGTCTCAGATGGCGTGAGTAACGACTCAGTACTGGAGATCTCTTACGCCCGAGCTGATATGCATTGATCATCTAGGACAATCACCTTTGCTGGACATGAAACGACGGCATCCACGTATGTCCTTTCTATATGCGACGTGCTTATTTGGGCTCATGATCTCGTGATACAGGCTTAATTGGCTTCTCTGCGAGCTTTCGTACAATCCTGAGTGGCAGGAAAGATTGATACGAGAGATTCAGGATATTCGCAGCCAGATTGGTACCAATGGTCCCCTCACAGTAAAGGTTCTGGAGAGTATGCCTATTCTGAACGCGGTCATAAAGGTAAGGAGACCGTCTGATATTATTGTTGCCCCATCATAAGCATTTCGAGTACCTAGGAAACGCTGAGGTTCCGTCCTATCGTACCGGAGCTTGTCCGAGAAGCCGACACCGACGATATCATTCCTTTGGAGTTTCCCATTACGAATGTCTCAGGGTCGACCCTGAAGGAGATTCCGATTCCCAAAGGGCAAAGAGTCGTTCTTAACATTTTCAAGTACAACAGGCGAGTATATGGCTAAGCTTACTAGGCTTTGAATAACGTGATCGTCGTGCTTAGGTTCAAATCTGTCTGGGGCGAGGACGCAGACGTATGGAATCCACAACGATTCCTCAACACTACCCGACCGACTACTTTGGGGGTGTTCGCAAACTTAATGACCTTCAGTATGCCATCCTGTTATTCTTCTTCGTTGTATTCGACTAACATCTCTCCCTCCGCAAAGGTGGTGGAATTCGTGCTTGCATAGGCTGGCGATTTGCGTAGGTTCCCGTTGGAGTTTAGTATTCACCACTTTAAGCCTTGCCTTTCAGTGTTCTAGAGCTCCAGGTAGCTGCAGCCGCTCTCATTGAGTCCTTCAAATTCTCGGCGGTGGAGGGAATCGAGATCGAGCAAGTCCGGATCGGCACAAATGGCCCCATGGTCAAAGGGAAGTGGGGAGCTGGACCTCAACTGCCCCTTAAGGTCACCTCGAGAGATGCCTGACCCTCCATATATACACAATATACCTAATCCCCACCACATCTTTTTGACTATCCTAGCCTATTGGACTCTAAGATGTTTCTCAATGGGAATAACACACTCAGACTCCATACAGGCGCTGGGTCCAACCTCTTCAACTAATACTAACCTGACCTCCTCACGATACATTGACGCACTGCGGGCAGAAAGCTGTGGTCCCTGAGGGTGTTTGGTGTGTAGAAATGGGGCTCGCAGATGTGATTATGAGAGACGCACACCGCTCCGTAAGTTACCAAGCTGTCACGTATACAATGAGCTTGAGGGTCTTTGTGAACCGAATGGTCCAGATATACAGAGATCCCAGCCCACTTGATAGCATTACTAGTATTTATCCGAGACATTTATAAGTCATTATACACCAAGCTAATTCAATCGTGTTAAGAGCATTCTTTATGGTCTCAACGACAACGAAAATGCCCGGATAGCTTACAAACCAATCGCTCAACATCCGAGGTAAGTTCACTGTACTGTGCCGTGGAAACACATTCGAAGCGAGCAGTTTCTTGTGATACTTGTGCTCCTTGGCGTGCAAAAAAGTTTTTAGCGAGCGAGCAAAGTAATAACAATAAAATTCAATAGGAAGGATCCAGTGAATGACCAGCACAAATCTAGTCATCGGGACGAGATAAGTGTGAGGAATGACTGGCGAATGTTTAAAATGTCAGTGCGATGTGTGCGTCAACCAGCACTTCGTGTCCGACCATTCAAAGTTGTTTATCTCTGTTGAGATTTCTGTCTTCAATCTCGGGATGCCTACCTCGGCCCTTGATGTAAACTGCTGCCTGACGCCACAGTTCATTGACACTGGCCTCCTCCACACTATTCTCCGATAGAATTCTCGTCAACGTGTGATCAAGAAAAGTACCCTCTGGCGGCTGACATCCGTCTGTTACGATGGGGAAACTCCTGGGTTTCCTGGGTCCTGCAACATGGTTCAGTTCTTCGCCACAGCAACCGCCCATACCTTATGAAAGCTTGGATGTGAAGTCTATCATCAACGAATCGCTATCCCCTCTAGTGTACGAGCCACACCTCACGCAGAGTCCTCGTAGTGTATGCTTGCCCATACAACTTTAAAATCTCCTTTGTAGAGCGGCTACATCCGTCGACTTTGTCAGACCAGTCTGTGTCCGGCCCGAGTCAGGTAAGCACATAACGAACTGGTACCGTGGCTCTCGCGCGAAGCTACATCCATTTACCATTCCGAATAGGGTTTTTTTTTGTATATTAATCAACAGGAGAGAGCATACATATATAAGGAGGGACACACAGGCCACATTTTCATTGTCGAAAGATGACCTTCTTCATCCAGCTTCTGTGGCTGCCTGTAGCTATTTCTGCGAGCGCCGTTCTCGCGTTGATCATCCGATCGAGGAAACGATCGCTCAGCTTTCTTCAAGGACCGCCGTCGCCTTCCTTCCTGCTCGGTCAGTCCGAAATTTCCTCGACTCCTTCAACTCCCTCATACTCAATGATACTGCAGGTCACGAATGGGCTCTGACTCGCGTGAGGAGGGTCGGAGACCTTGAATCTGACTGGTTCGAGCGGTACGGATCTGTGTTCCGCTCGGCTGGGTGTTTTGGGGTAAGTGCAAGCATATCATTCTTTCATTCTCAATAGCGACTTATACTTGTGTCGACCGGTATCAATAGGAGGACATTCTGGAAGTATCCGATCCCCGTGCTCTGCAGCACATCTGCCACAAGTCCGCCTATCGGTACAAGAAACCCATGGAC